TAGTAGTATATATATTTGTACTGAGGATGTTGTTCAGAAGAATGGTGAAAGCTCTGTAATCTAAACATTCAGCTTAGAGAACGAAACTCCATGACATTATATATTTAGCCCTTATTACTATCTATGCATAAAAAGGCCAATGAATAACATGAGTCTGTCAGATAATTATTAGTAGATATTGAATACGTATGCAAAAAAAGAAGTGTATAATGTAAAGGAAATTTTCAGAATTATTTAACTGAATATCTAACCTGAGAAAAAATTCTCATCGATTCTTAGGTAAGATTTATTGATGAGAGTCTCGATCAGTCTCGATGCTCGTAAGCGTAAGAAATCTGCCAGAAAATGACGAATATGATGCTCTTTAAAAAATATTTTTAAAATGTACCTTTAATATCTTCTTCTATGTTGACTGAATACGAAAAAAACAGTGCCTCTCATCACACATTTTTACACCCAAGTAAATGATTCTGATAAAGAATTGTAAGATTGATTTATTTTATTAGTTCAGAAGAAAATAACTGATTTTAGAAATGTATCATTATTCAAATGAAATGTATTCAAGTAACATTGATTTTGTATTCAATTGTAAAATCTATTTATTTCAGTGTATGGCTATGATTTATAAACTCACTTAATAAAGCATATCTTTTTGTCTAATAAGGATTTTGATCGTTTTCACGAAAATATGTACTTTTAATCAAACTAAATATTATATGCGGTATCATATCCGAAGAATTAACTTATAAATTATTTATACTTGTAACTTTCACGTTTTGAATAATATTTAACTATGAATAAACAACACAAATCAACACATACTTAAAAGAAAATTAAATAACTTTACCCTTTAAACAACAATATTTGTCATAAATAAAAATTTTATGCAAAGTTATCAACGTATTAATGAAGTATCAATTTTACTGATGTGTGAACTGAGAAGTCATTGCCGCTCTTAGTTTTCTAATGACCACATTATCATAAAACTGTTCAATTATTCACTTTAAAATTCTACTGTAATTCCATTTTTGAAAAATACACAACTTCTAAAAACGTTAACGATAATCTAGAATAATGTTTTTAAAATAGTAGGTTTTTTTATCACCGCTCATTTAAAATTCACTTTTTTGTTAACTAAATGATTTTTATCGGTTATATAAAATCAAAGTAATCCATTGAATAAATGAACTTACAAACACACCTACATTTTAAAAAATTGTCGAGAATTTCTTCGTTTTAAAAAGATTCAATGTTCAATTTAGTTTGTTTTTTGGAAAAAAATACTTATCGGTTTCTTATTCACTGTATGATAGAAAAAAATTGTTGCCCAACGTATTTTTTTGTTGAAAAAATATAAACTCAACAAAATGATTTTTTCTAGTTATTTAAAAAAGTAGGCCATTAAATGAACTAAGTTTCCATTCTCACCGTACTTATCTTCTAAAAATTATTTTGGTTGGATTTATTTACTAGCGTATACATGCTTATAAACCTCTCATGTGTTAATTATCGACGTGTTTATTGAACCCTATGTAACGTGATGATCTTTTAAGTTGAAACAAACTTCATTTATTCAACAAATAATCAGTGAAATGAATGTATCTTCTGTTGTACAATGAATATTTTCTATGATTCGGAATATAAATTACTCAATGAGTATAAGGTTTTGGTCGAAATGAAAACAATGTCACATTGAAGGGCAGATAAATCTAGTTGAAATCATAAGGAATTTCATTTCTAAACAAAATGCAATAATTATAATAGTACAAAATTATAATAAAATTAATCATTAAATAATTCTTCAAATGATTGATAAAATATATAATTTTATATAGTGTAAATGCACATTAATTATAGAGCGCGAAGGCAATTAATTCATATAACCGATCAGTAGTTAATGGCAACTCATGCTTTATAAAAATTTGTTAAAATAATAACTATTTGAATATATATTTCATTTTGTTTTTCAAATTTAAATGCATAAATTAATAACTGAATTACTGATTGAATCATAAGCTGATTTGACAACTTTTCCCGAATACAGTTACATTTACAAGTAATTCTAACTAGAAACAATGATCTAACCGGGTTCATTTCCCCAAATGTACTATGATTTCTTTAAATACAATCAAAACGCTTGTCGATGAGTCTCAAGTTGCATGAAAACTATGGTCTATGATCCAGTGATGATTATCACTTATTACATGTGTGCATTAAATGTGTTTATTTCTATAAAAAAATTTCGAAGGATTAAGCTCAGAAACAGCTTCTTCCCGCACGTTACATTTTTTAGTATATACGATTATTCAGTTAATACAAAACATTTTTATAATGTTTAAAAATATGTTTTAAGTAGTGCATAGAGAATTATCCGATTATTAATATCCGAATAACAGAAACTTATTTTAAAAGTTTATTCTAAACTATACCAAATTCATGTTTGATTTCGTATAACATATTTAGATAATACTGTAGGAATTCCGAACGAACACACTGACATTAATTGATTTATCTGAAAAATTCTTTATAGAACATTAACTTTAAATGTTACTGAGATGAAATAAATACGCAGCAATTATTGATTTTTAACTATTTTCCAATCAGCGTTAGATTGTGAAATTTTCTATTATTCTTTATTATTTTCATTATGTAGTTATGGAGATTGTCGAGCTTCATTAAAATCACGAACTGGTCTAGGCTAAATCACCATTAGAGACCTAGAAGCGCCAGACGGTTGTTTCAGTCTAGTGTGTGACTCATCAGTAGTGCCCATCCACGACACCTGCTCTTGAAAGCCTAGCCTGCGAACCACTGAGCCATCAACCAGTGGTTTTATTGTCTAACTTTAATCACTTCATGATATTGAGCAACCTTGTTCATTTTCTTCAGCGGGTAACTGTCTCAGACCCTACACGACTGAACTCCACTGGTAACTACTACGAACTACGACTATGAGAAATTCCTCACGAAGTTGTCACAAGTGAGCGTTTTCTCTCAAGATCAAAGGTCCCACGTTCGGTATATACTGCTTATGGATTCCATAACAGGATGAAACGGTTGTCGAGTTCTCCCAGGTTTCTAATGATGGTCTAACAATGATCGATTCCTGATTTCACTGATAATCTTTATTGTTCAATAAATATAAGTTTTGTTTTATCTGTAGAAACTACACAAAATGTTTTTTCATAATTAAATCATTATGACAAAATATTCCGAACAAACTTTAAAGACTCTGTTTAGTTATTTGTATATTTAATTAACGAAAATAATGAACTATGTGATTAGAATATTGTAAAAATTTCGTATCGCATCAATTAATTATTTTCACAATAATTTTTAGTGATATTAATTACTGGATCGTTAACTTATTCTCAACACATTATTTGAATTCCATTGCATAATGACCTACTACACTATTAAAAATTACTTGTTTAACTAGACTTTAATGATTAAATCCACAAAACATCTGTTAAATATTTCTAAGGGATATTTAAAATATCGCATGTATGCGTTACAGATCATTGAACACCTTGAAAATAAACATTCACTGTCTCAGTTGTTATTGAATCCCATAGGAGTGAATATCACATGAAGAAATTTATTAGATTTGTAATGATTGATCAATATGATTTCATTCATCATTATTGTACATATGTTATCTGTTTTCAAATAAATTTTTTTGTCTATATATCTGCTTTAAATTCATTCTCTTGGCTTTTTATCATAATATAATTTAAGTAATGGTCAACATTTCGCTTATTACTAATATATATAATCCTGTTGAGTAAAAATGTTTGCTTATTTATAAGACCAAACAGTGAAATTGTCCAACATAGGAAAACGTGATTTATCATCTCCATATTCTTTTAGAAGTTGTTATAGGTATACTTTGATTGCCCCTTCAAAGCAAGTAATCTAGGGATTACATGGCAGGGGTTGTAATCATTGTCAATTAAATTTTGTGGTGGTGATTCGTTCTCTGAGCTGGACGGACGAAACACTACCACAATCATCCACCTGAGCTACAAATTTTATCCACCATCTCAATTAGATTTTGTCATTTATTGTAATTGGAATTAGTGATTAATTAATATTACTAATGAATACTCAATGTTCTAATTAAAATTTTTTTCAAATAAACAACTCTCATTGTAGAGTATTCCAAAGCGTCTATGAGGAAATCAATAGTCTGCACTTTCTTGTCCAACTCAAAGTACTTGTTTATGGAATAGGCTAATGATGTTTCTTCCATGAAAATGAAGTAAATACTGATCTGGATCTAGTCACAACGTCTGTCATTTCGGTTATTTAGTCAACTGAAATATGTCATTCTTTTTATTGTGATCTATAAATCTAGATCATTGGAAATCAAGATAGTAGTTAGAGAATATCATACTTATTACCAAAACCCTACTGCTTTCAGTGTGCTCCCCTACTGTAAAATGGGTGACGAAATGTAAAAGTAAAACAACTGCCCAACAATTCTCCCCGTAGTTCTATAGATGTCAGGCTACAATGAAAACTAACTTCAAATTAATCCATAGTCATAAACTTAATAATTTTATTTAGTTTTAGAAATATCTGTTTAAAAAAAATACACATTATTTAATAGATAATAATCAACGCTTAAAATATATCAGATGTACTTAATACTTACTTAACTAACACACTAAATAGATGGGAAACTTTATAAAGTTTAGCAAAGAGTAGCATTTGTCTAAAATCGATTTTTATCTTTAAATAACTTTCTAACTTTGTATTATGTTATAATTTGCCAGTTGTCATATGACTGACGATTATCTTTTCTTGAATAAAATATATCGGCTTTTACATTTTCACATACTATCCTGGTATTATTAATGTGTAAGGTTTATAAAACGCTGTAACTGGATTATGAAACAAGCATTACTTTTTTGCTTAAGGTGAATGAAAAATAACGCTTATTACAACAATTTAACATGCTTATTCTAATATTTCTTTAACAATTTTATTGATTTTAGATAACATGTAAACAATGACATTGGTGACAATGTATTTTTTAACAAAGATTTTACACACAAAAAAGAACCTCAACTAACTACATGGCAAAGAAATAATTACATTGGACAGAATTACAATATTTTTGGATTAAAAACAGTTATTTCATTAAATTTCCAATAACTACCCATGATCAAGCTTAAGATACATAGTTTGCTTAATATTCATCAGACTATTCTATACTTAACAATAGCACTCTTAAAATGTAACATTTCTCAACTGTTTGAACGTGTCACTTTACAAGAAAACATACCTTTGAATACTGTGATATTTGATTTAAAACCATTGCTGGAACGTTATGCAAATAGTCACCTACCTTCATCTGAGTTATCAACATCGTTAAATAGAAATATAACAGCATTCGCAAATCAACAAGAAACTTTTTGGCCATTTATCTTAGATAATTTTTTGATTAAACTAGCTAAACCACTAGATCGTGAAATGATCTGTCTTTTACAAACGGAATCTTTAAGACATTCAGTTAACCTAGCTGACACATCAGTCACATCTTACAGTGACACAAGTCAAGTTTGTTTACCTGGAGCTTGTTGTAAACTATTGCATGTAAATATAATAACAAGTCCAACAGAATTGCCTACACCATTCTATCTTCATGTAGCTGTACAAGATGTTAATGATAATCCACCACGATTTCCTCCAATTCATACACCATATACTGTAATCCGAGAAGATATTAAATTAGGTGAGAAAATATGGTTACCTCAAGCTATTGATGCAGACAGTGCTCAATTCAGTGTGGCTGAATATCGTACAATTAATTGGATACATGGAAATCAAAGTCATTTTCAACTAGGCGTTTCAGATTCCAACGATTTAAGCAATGATTTTATTAATGGTATTCAAGAAATTCCAAGTAGTACAAATTTAAATTCACATTTAGGTAAACCTTATTTAACTATAACTGAAGGATTAGATCGTGAACTTATCGATTTATATTCCTTCACACTAATCGCTATTGATGGTGGCGGTAATACGCCGATTGGTAATACACAAGATATTAACAAAGCTCTTACTGGATCTGTCAGTATTGTAATTAAAATCTCCGATGTTAATGATAATCATCCAACATTTGAACAAAATATATATCATGCTAAAATTGTAGAAAATTCAATGAATTCACCAATCATTGAATTCAATTTAGTCGATCGTGATATAGGAGATAATGGTCGAGTGACTACAATTATCGATGATCCTACTGGACAAGCTCAACATCTTTTTCGTATTATATTACAACCAAGTCAAAATTCTAATCTTAAATTATACAGTCATACTGGATTTCACAATTCTCCTTTACAACAATTAAATAGTCCAACAGGAACATTTTATAAAGGATCATTACAAATTATTAATCCATTAGATGCTGAAAGACATTTAAATTTGTTAAGATTTCATTTAATTGCTACTGATCATGGTCAACCAGTATTGAGTTCTCGATGTGAAATACAATTAAGAATTATTAATGTAAATGATAATTCACCGAAAATTGTATTTTTAAATAATGGTAAACGATTAACGGATGGACGTATTTCATTACCGGAAGTAGAAACACCACAAAGAGCTATTGTTGCTTTAGTTCATGTCACGGATGATGATTCACCAATTGAACAAATTCGTTGTCATCTAATTAAAGAAGATGATATGTTTTCATTTGAAGAAACTGGTAATGCAAATTTCCTCGCACATCAACAAACTCAACAATCATATAATTTATTGAATGAAGCTATTGGATTACATTCAACTTATAAACAATATGTTATTCGTATTAGAAAAATTCCAGATAGAGAAGAGAAAAGTTTTTATACAGTAAGTTAAATAAAGAAATTTATTATTCAATGTATAACATGACATTGAAATTATTGATAGATAGATATCCTTAAATAACTTTGAAATTTAAACATACTGGAAATTATTTTTATTCTAGTTTTAAAGTAATGTATTCTTTTCACAAGAATGTTTATATATTATTCAGTTATATTTACAGAATATATGAATTGCTATTTTTCCTTTGTAAAAACTTTGTGGCTTCAATAAAACTCAACGATCTCCACAAACCTATTAGGAAGATCATGAAATGTAATCACTAGCTTAGTGAGGAAATTCTTGGATTATTAGTGAGAAGTAGTGACCAGTGGAGTTCAAAAATGGGTGAGGTCACTCAGTACCATGGACTGATTGAAGTTAGACATTCACACCGTTGAATGCCGGCTTACTGATCTGGAAGTTAAGCGTTGGCACGCGATACCGAAGGTTGAAGTTCGACTCCCACGTGCAGGGGTCATAGGCGTGCACTACTGATGAGTTCTATATTAAAAACTCATTGATGATGAAATGGCCTCACAATGCTTCCAAGTTTCTAATAGCCCTCTGACATTGATCAGTTCATGATTTTAATGAAACTTAACAATCTCTACAACTCTATAAAGAAAATTACTATTAACAATTGATAATCGAAATCACATTTCATCATTTACGTGGTTGATGATTTCATTTGTTCCTGGTTATTTGTTAAACGAATTTCTTTTGATCGTAACTGAAGTTACTCAACTTTATATATAAACATCCTTGTACATTGGACCTATTTTAGGTCATAGCATTTTATTTGTAAACTTCAAAAACGAAGTCAGCATTACCTACATTGAAAATTTGATTTAAGGCTAAACATATAAAATATCTCGTTAACTGACAATAGATTACATTTCTTAAGATAAAATAATCTTATACATCATAGATCATAAAATATTATAACCATAAAATGTAAACTACTTTACGTTGCTTAGAAATGATGTGGAGATTAGTTTTAACTGAAGTGGTCAACAGGAAAATGAGTATATGTAGGCATTTGTACAACACAACAATTATATACACTTAGTGAGTTATTAAAAAACAATTTCTAGTTGTAAAAATCTCACAAAATTAAATAAAATAACTCAATGAGATTTTTGAAAATTTTATTTTATTTTTTAATATCTTCTAAACTATTGTGAAATTAATTGTTCATACCTTGACAGAAATTCTTACAATGTATACTGGTCGATTTGTGTGACTTTTTACATAAAAAAATGATTTTGAATTGATGTTTCAGTTTTTATTCAAGACATTTCTGATTGATAACCTCTAACCATAGAAATTCGAATGAATAAAACTCTGAAGTAAATCATATTAATGGTTGCTTTGATTGTCAAAATGGAAATCAATCTCGTAAAATCCAAAGAAACTTGACTTTTATCATGAGACGTCATAACTTTTCTAAATGAAAGACCTTCAACATTCCAGGGCAGAGTTTAAATGATTTGAATTATGAATTATGGTTAGCGCACTTTTAGCAAGTCACTTTTCTTCTGGATGATAAGGTCGCAAACTCCGTGCTCAGTGCTCCTCTTTTATCCGGGTTTAGGACTGGGAGTAACCTTATGGGGGGCTCCAGGCGGAGTTGTTCTTCGTCACAACAAGATCGCTGATTTCTTGTTACCTATATTCCATCGTTACAAACAAATTTCATCCCCGATCATTTCTAAAAAAACAAATTAGGCGTAAAACGTTTTTTCAAAAATTCACTAAACAGTTTCAAATACAACAGATAATCATTCGTATTAATAAAAATAAAATGAACAAAAAGTTATGGTTTTAATTTTTTCATGATAGAATCACTTTCGATTTTTCTAAATCTGTATCGATAAAGAAAAGAAGAAATTAATTCGTAGTCCTTTTTTGTTTACTCATGAGAATTCTATCTAACGCTGATTCATTCTTAAATTTTTATTTCATTAATTAAATACATTTAAAAGTCAAAATATTGAAAAAAAAATGTTTATTTTGTCAACCTAATGAATTTTACTAGTGAAATTGCCTAAATTGTTATTTGTTAAACTAATGCAAATGAGATTTTTTTTCTTTAGCAATCATTTTGAAAATAACAGAATACCAAACATAAATTGTTATATGTTCAATTTACTAACATATTGAAATGAATAAATGAATAGTTAGTTACAGTGATTTACCGTTTTTTAAGAAACTTCAATTTGTTTAAATGAATTACTTTTTCTGAAAGGAAAGTACTTTTGAAACTTGTAAGGTCAACATATCTGAATTTATAGGTGTAGAATGATGAGAATTGAAACAGTTTATTTAACTCTTAATTTTAAATGCACTTAACGTGTGATGTAACATTTTAAATTCATTTTATCCGTTTCGAAATGATTTAATCAAGCACGGCATTTTTTTAACAGAGAAATTAAATTCATTGAAATACGCATATGATATTATGATAATTTTGTAAAGATTGTTTTTAATACTACTGAATAGATTGTTCATCATTAAGTAAAAAGATAAAGATAAAAGGGGGAAATGACGATGATGATGATTAACTTGATCTTGTAACTACTTTCATCTGGGATTTTGTGTGTATTTATGGCTTTGTTAGATTCAAGCTTAATCGTTTATATCAGCGTTGACGTCATCTTTAAATCATCTTTGCATAGATTACTTATCAGTCTATGTTAACTCATTTCATATTTTTTTACTTAACAAATGCTAAGCTTCACTGAAGAGACCAAATATTCATCAATAACTAGTTTATCTTATCGAAATATAGTTGAGTGAGATTTGTTCTTAGAAACAATAGCTTTGAATAAACAAAAGTATATTATTAGTTAAACTCTGAACTAGAAATTTCAAACTGCACTTGATCTCATTGTTAGGTTCGTCACTAGGTATGCTTGAAACCATTACGGGGCTAACGTAGTCGATAAACGCGAACAAGATAATCAACCAGCATCCAGGTAGGCTACCCTAATCTAATGATTAATGAAAAGTCTTGATGTAGTGTAAATAGTGTATTTTACAAACACACAGCAAGAGGTTGCGCAGGACCGTCATTTGATCGAAAATAGGCATCAACACCGTTAAATGCCAGCTCAGTGGTACGAAGGTTAGGCGTTCGTGCGCAAGGCAGAAGGTCTTAGGTTCGAATACTTCGAGGTGCAGGAGTTATGGATGTCCACTACTGATGAGTCCAATACCAGGACTAAACAGCCATCCAGTGCTTCCAGGTTTCTAATAGTGGTCTAATAGTGATCGATTCATGATTTAAAATTTAGAATATGGTGAGCATAGACTAATTTCTACATTGCCCTGCCATTATATCATATTTTATGAACGAGGTTCGTATATCTTCTTCGTTTATCTATCTCTACAGCTTTATATTGTTTTATTAGTGATACCTTAATTTTTACCTAACCTCACATGATGCAAATGTCAAAATTAGCAGACTCATCAATCGAATTAAAGAAAGTTGAATAATTTTACAGCAAAACAACAAAAATCATCTATCACATCATTGAATTTAAATTTCAAATTTCAAAAACCGTAACGAATTGTTAAGAGACAAAAAATTCATAGATAAAATCACGCTACAATGATACCTTTTTATGTATTTAATTGTCAACTCTATTCTCAAATGTAAACACACTTGTTACAACGGCAATATTTCTAAATTCACACATACATTCATACATACACAATTGAACAAACTTAATCTGTTTTGGGAAAACAGAATTGCAGTTTCTATTATTAGATAAAGAATAAAAATGACAGATTTGTTTTCTTCAATCTTTTGTAAGGTTTAATATTAATGAAAGATGTTGTTTCTTCAAAAATAAATTTTGCTTGTGTTCAATTCATTTGTTCCTACAGACTTCATAGATGAACAATAATAATGTTTGTTTTAGTTTTAATCCATCAGTTATGTGTGTATGATTTATCAGAGAATAATTTGTGTTGAAGATTTTAAACTAAATACATGAATGAACGTTTCATCCGATCTGAGACTGGTCAGCTGGATATCCCGACCGTAGCTGCTACTTTGACGTGGCGGTCGGGCTTGCCTATTGTGATGACACAATCGAGCGATATTAGCTAAAACATTTGTTCCTGAAGGTTCTACTATACCAAGCATGTCGATTGGAGAACTATGAGACTAAAAGCAGCTACTCAAGGTCTGAGGGCGAAGTCTTACTGCTGACTACAGGGAGGTGTGACTGCAGTTTCCCTCGGACAACCAGCATCTGCAGGTCGTTAAGACCAACGCTAATATACCTTCCTTTTCAGGTTACTCAAAAAACCGCCGGGAAGTGATAAGCGTACTTATACCCGTAGCAGAACCCGTAACAGCAGCTGGATATAATAGACAGCACATAGGAGCTCAAATTTACTGCCTCTAGCTCGGAATTTCAGTGCTTTATTTACTTTACTTTGCTTTACTCATTTTAAATAGCCACCAATATATTCAACACGTAGTGTCAAGACAGTTCAGTTATAATTTACATACACTAAATGATCAAATACAATCTTTAATGCCAACAACAGGAAATGTTAGATACCTGACTACTACGAGTCGTGGATGCGCACTGTTGATAAGTCCCATATCAGGACGAAACGGCCGTCCAGTACTTCCTGGTTTCTAATGGTGGTCTAACAATGATTGATTGATGATTTCAAATGTGTAAAAACACCAAACTCCATAACTCTAATAAAAAACTATGTTAGTGTTCTATCGACTATCTTCTCTAATAATATAGCATACAAAAACTACTATTTGAACCATAAAATAGATGTGATTGTTTTATTAGATTCAGTTAATTAAAAACTTTTGTAAGGAACTAGTGTGATGCGGTCCAGTTTAAACTTAATATTGATCAATGAACCATAAAATAATGAGTAGTGTAAATTTGTTCATTATTTAGTGCTGTTCAATTTCTATCGACACAGCTTACGATTTGCCTATTAAGTTAAGTGGCATAACATCA